TCCTCTCTCTCTCTCTCTCTCTCTCTCTCTCTGTATTCCCAATTCAAGGATGGTTTCTCCCTGCTAGCCCCTCTCCCTAAATCTGTTTCTAACGTCCTTTCCTTTGTTTCTTCAAGAGTGGACTTTTTCCTTAGATGTTATGAGTGGGCAATTCTCAGTCCCAACAGCCATTGAATCATTCTAAGAGAGAAGACCGTGTTTCTCATCTTCTCTTTCTTGGTTTTTCCAACTCAGAGAGCATCTACTTCTGAGAGACACTCTCTCCCGAAAACCGATTCTATCTCTCCAGGGCACATGATACCTCCTTTCTCTCCAAATATATCCATAATTCATCTCTCTTTCCCTCTCTATTGCATATACCTCCAATCTCCTCCCAATATACCCTTAACTTTATTATTAAACCAATCTCATACCTTTCCCTCTCTACTTCCATTCATAGACCTTCTCAGTTCACACTCTGGAGCCATGGAAGCTAACAAGTTTGAATCGGTTCACAAAACTCTTCTGAACTGACTCTCATCCCTGTCTATGCAGTCCTAGAATGGGTTATCATCACCCTCCTTCTCCTTGATGGTCTTTTTTCCAATCTTATATGCAACTTCACTGCTTTTTTATGCCTAAAGGCTTCATAACTGTGGTGTTCCAGAGTCGATCATATTTTGGAAGCCAACAAAGGCGCTATTATTGAGAGCTTGTGTGTGATAACCACAGCAAAGAGATTTCAAGATGGCTTACTACTTTAATGGAAAATTAGCTCAAGTCTGCGATATGCGTGAGGAATGCTCTCTTAGCCTGAAAATTAGCTCAAGTCTGCGATATGCGCGAGGAATGCTCTCTTAGCCTGAAAATTAGCTCAAGTCTGCGATATGCACGAGGAATGCTCTCTTAGCCCCAGAGCAAGCCTTAAGGTTGGGTGGCCTTTATTTCTCTGCTCAGAAGCTTCAACAATTTAAAATAAAAAATGGGGTTGAGGAAGTGAGGTGCTCTTTTTGTGATGTCAATGGTTGTCATGTCAATTTGGGAGATTGGATTTACTCCAAGTGGGAGAGGCAGGGGAGGGGGGGGGGGGCGGTGTTGGAGACAAAAGAAAGAGAGAGAGCGAAGGAGAATAAAGGAGGTAAGGCTAGAGAGGATGAGAGTCAGAGAGAGACAGGTGCATAGAGAGAGGCATGAAGATTTGTTGGGTTAAATAGGGCAACTGGCTGAGAGATAGATGCCAAGTTTACCTTTCTTTTTACGTTTTAACTGGTGCTATTCTCGACATTCAATTAGATTGGACAGTTGGGAAACAACAGTCACAGATCTTTTATATGTGGGTGACGTCACACAGAATAAATTTACACTTAAAATATACCTGTCATTGGTCGAGGCTCTGAAAGATAAGATCAAGACCCTTGTCATTGGTTGAGGCTCCGAAAGATAACATCAAGACCCTTGTCACCTTTTGGGCCAAAAACAGCAAACACTTCCTGCACTGCTCCTACTCGGACTTCCACCAAGGCCGATCTGCACTACCCTATCTCAGGCCCACCAAATTCCTCATGCCTCCCTCTGGAGACCGCCGGAGACCGGCCAAAACCAAGCTCAAATTCGACGGTTGCTCCCTGGGCAACCCTGGCCCTGCTGGCATCGGGGGCCTATTCAGAGGCAAGTACGGCAGCATCCTATTCTCTTAAAGAGCTCAATTGGCCATGCCAACTCCAACACTACTTGAAGGCTTCAGAAGTTTCAACCCCACCCAGAGCCCATTGTTGGTCATAGAGCAGGACTCCAAAAATGTTCTGTCATGGGCCTCTAAAGCCTCACCTTGCCCATGGAGACTGGACAACATTTTTGACGAAATTTTCCAAATTTGCAGGGATACTCACGTTTCACGGAGGCATACTTGGAGGGAAGGCAACGCCGCAACTGACACCCTCGCTAAGGAGGGAGCCTCACGGACGGAAGACCTTTAGGGGGACTTTTTGACCAACATTTTGAGCACAAAACCCCCAACATTTTGTACACTTTTAATGTTTTCTTATGTTGTATAGCGTTTTTTGAGACCCTTAGGGGTCGCCACCATTTTTTGGACCCACACAGGTTGCTGGCTTGTGGGTGCCTATTTATATATATATATATATATATATATATACACCAATCATTAGCTCCATCTAATTGTCTTGCTTTTAATGAGAACGAATTTTGTGGCTCTTAGTGCACATTACTAATAAAAATAATAATGGTGTTCTCTAAGAAATTTCAAACTTAAAGTCAAAAAAATTAAAACCACAAAAAATTCAGGCCTCACACTAACATCAGGCCTTCAAGAGAAAATTGCCTAATTAACAATACCATTTAGATTATTATTTATGCTTTAATGGTTCCATTCAGAGAAGGGAAAATAAATCCTGATAACCATGGGATCATCACCATTCAATCAATGTTGGATAGCAAAAGAGAGACAGAACTACAATTGGATGCCCCCTTGTCTCCCCATCATCATCAGTGATGACATTTATGACCACACATTTGATCTAGTAATTGATCACAACGTACTATCCCTTTTAGGATCAAGTCCACAGCTCAACAGAAAGGCAGCTGTTCAAACCTTGTCGTCATGAGTTCAAGTGATGCCCACCCACACTAAAGAAAGTTGTACATTTTTATTAGATAATACATGGACAGAGAAAAAGATATAATGTTCAGGGAAAGTATAAGATACAAATTATGTGTGGTACAAAGAGGTCAAAATCATTATTAGCCATTGGATGCAAAATCAAGTGGTTGAGGGTGTGCCTTTGGCCGGCACCCAAAGTTCTAAAAAAAAATTTCCCAAATTTTGTGACACACCACAAGCCGTCAGGTTTCTCATCTAATGGCCAAAGGTGTTGCCTTACGGTATACAATCCCTAATGTTTAAAACATTTTTGTTATACAAAAAGAACCTGGTACTATAGTACCTGATGGATCCGTCCAGTTAGTAATCTCCACTCCATGAGGGTAGAACCACCACAATCATTATTAGCCATTGGATACAAAATCGAGTGATTGAGGGTGTGCCTTTGGCCTGCCTCAAAGTTCTAAGAAATTTTCCCAAATTGTGTGACACACCACAAGCTGTCAAATTTCTCATCTAATGGCTAAAGGTGTTTGTGACCTTCTTGTACCAAACATAAATAGCCGCCTTATAGTACACAATGCCTAATGTTTAAAACATTTTTGTTAAACAAAAAGAACCTGGTACTATAGTACCTGATGGGTCCGTCCAGTTTGTAATCTCCACTCCACGAGGGCAGAACCACCTCCAGCAAGAACCTCCATTACATGGTATCTAAATTAATCATAACAACATTAGTACAAGGAACTTACAAACTCAACAAATGCAGCTTATAAAACACAACTAGCCCAAGAACTAAGGAGTGATCAGGAGAGGAACATGAATACACCTACTGGTAGCAAGGCGAGCTTTCCTGGTATTATTTTGCCCGGAAACAGCAGCCATGCGGATCCTGTTATTCATATCACGAGCTATTGGGATCTCAATGCATCCATTACTTGGAGAAGGAACACCACACGTAAGGCTGATGTACTGTCTATGAATTGTATGGAGCTTAAATTGCTCAGATAAATGGGCATGGGAATGTTCATTCTGCAGTAAAGAAGAAACTATAATGAAAATGTAAGCAGTATCAATTTAAATTGCAATATTGAGTTCTCTGACACTTAGCTGAATAACAACAAAGAATGTTGGGAAACTCTTCCTGATTGAAATAGCATGGGAAGATAAAAGCATGTATAGTACCTCCAGCGTTTTCCCATGGCCTTCAAACCATTTAAGGAAAAAAGGGCGGTCTAATGGGTAACCACCCGGTCAGATCAGAACCGGCCAGTGGCCGGCTCTGGTTTTGGCTGGTTTTGGTTACTGGCTGGGTATTTTTTAAAAACAATTATATAAAATCCCAAAAAAAAAGGGATTTTGTTTGTAATTCACTTTTTAATGTTTTTCACCATTATGGCAAAGATTGGAAATTGTTTTGGCCATTAATACTTATTTTTATATTTTCCCATTTTTCTCAAAAAAATTCAAAAATATCCCTGGGCATAAATCAATTCTTTAAAATCCTTTTTTTTTTTTTTCCTAGCTCATTTCCCGTACTAGATTTGACTAAACCTAAAATAACACCTAAAACATTAACTATTTCTAACTCATTATTATTATTCAAAAATAAATAAAATCCATTTTTTCATTAATTTTTAACTTCATTTGGATGTGCTTTGTTTAATCATTCGTTAAATATCCTTTTCATATTTTATTAGATTTTTTTTTGTATTTTTTTTAACACTTTTTTGACCACCTAGGACTTGCCCCGTTAGAATAGTTGAACCAGCCGGTTTACCGATTAGGCCGGTTGAACCGCTTCCAAGCCCATGTCCGGTTAACCGTTCCAACAATTTGATTTTTCCTACACTACTTCAAACCATCGACCTTCTTTCTACACAGCTCCCTTACAGCAAATCCTGGCCATCCCCTTCTCCATTGTTTCTCCTCTATTCTCTCATTGTTACTTTTACCCCATCCTAACCCCTACCACTACCAAACCCCTATCTGTCCAACAAGCCTCTAACGAAAATAGGCTTCCCCTCAAGCTCACCTAATCCACCACGCCCTCTACTCACTTCCAGCCCAAAACCATTTACTCCCTTTTCCTTCCAATCTAAGCCCTTCCTCATAGCTCACAGGCGTTCTCATCCCTAACCCTCATCCAGCTGACCAAGCATCATCAAGCTCAGCCTCTGAACTAAAGACCAGAAGATTCTTTTCCAATGGGAGGCGTATTATCTTTGCTACGTCTTACATGGATTGTCAGGTTTAGTGTCATACACATGTCGGACATTAACAACCTATATACTGATACAGATTCTCCTTGATTCTTTTTCTTGTTTATGAACTTTTGATTACATCATTTAAGAGATTTGATCTTCTTCTTTTTGTTTTCATTAGGTGCATGTGAGTTTTGAAAATGTCAATGGAGCTTTGGAATAATCTATGGATTCAGTCATTTCAAAAAAATAAAAATCAAGGATTCAGCCAAAAACTGATTATTTCTTGGTACTTATCGTGAAATTGATACTAGTAAAACGTTGTTACATTTGGTAGTCCTTTCATATTATAGTCGTGCCAAACAAATCCTCTATTTCATGAGGAATCAGATACCCCATACCTAATCTCGGACGCTGAATGATGTAGTCATGTTCATGCAATAAAGCATATCAATGAAAGTAGAACCACCGCCAGAATTTCACCAGAGAAGAAAAGGGAAAGGTACAGGCACGAGATGGACCCCAATCAAAGACGGAGGACAATTGACCACCATACACATGGAGCTCTAGCCATGCTGGGGACATGCAAGAGCTTAGACCCCCAACTTAGACGACTTCAAATTTGAATTTGAATTAAATTTTGATTTCAAATCAAATTCGTCCCAAATCTAATCCTAATTTTATGTCGTTTTGCCGACCCCTGGCCATCCACAGTCCAATACCTCCCTCCCGCATCCAACAATTGACATCACGCCACCTATTCCCCAACCTTCCTTCCCCCCCGCATAAATCAATGCAAATCTTCCCCTCCCCCAGAAAAAAAAACATATGCATGCCCAAAATACAGCCATGACTCCCACCCATTACCCTTGTCTTACACTTGTAACCCATTCACTAGGTAATGCCAGGACCACATCACCCTCCCACTACTTATCCTTTTGCTGCCCACTACAAATTCTTTAATCATTCAATCCTAAGTGAGAACACCTAGTGTCTCCATCCCTACCATCCTTCCCCGAGAAGAGAATTTTCGCTAGAGAAGAAAAGGGAAACTAGATGGCTCTAATTAAAGGTGGACCATTGACCACTGCACATGATAAACTCTAGCCATGCTGGCAACACAAGCAAGAAATTAGACCCATAACTCAGCTAAAATGCAAATTTGATTCCAAATTCAAATTTGAATTCAAACATTTGAATCCCAACCGTGCCACTAATTCCATATCAGTTTGCCAGACACATGGTCATCCACTGCCCCCTCCTTCATGCATCCAACAACTAACACTATGCCGTCTATACCCCAACCTTCAATCCCCCCAAATGCAAGCCTGAGATACCCAGTCAGCTGGTCCCCAACGTCGCATGCGCATGCACATGTGTGCTTTTTCGTGGCCCCAAGATGTATGTGTGGATAAGGCGTTCGGTGCGGTGCGAATGACAAACCAACAAAAGTTAATTTTATTGAGGTAAAAAAAGTACAAGGTACAAGAATTACCTCAAACGGAGGTGGTTCTAGACGTATTTCGGGCCATAGCCCTCCTAGATCCTGGCTTTGGATATCGCCGAAAGTCTTCTGACACTTGTCGGACAGTAGCGCACAAGGGGGCCTAGCGTCAGAAATATCTCCTAAGGGTGCGCCTTGTGAGCCAAACACCCTGGGGTGAGCTCTATGAGCTAAACACCCCTACTTCTCCCCAAGTGCGCCAAACACTGCCAAGGGAGGAGGGGAGTTGAGCCTACGTCGTTGTTGCCAGCTAGCTTAGAGCGTGGTTTGATTTCACTCCCTTGCACGCTGAGTCGCACTCGATCTAAGGGCTTGCACATGCACGGATTGCAATGGGTTCCTATGGGTTCGTCGCTATTTGGTTTCGGTAGAGCTAGGTGTGGGCTAGGTCTAGGTTTGGTGGGGTAGGAATGGTTTTGGTTTGGAGTGGGTTAGGAAATGTGAGCTCAAGTGGTCTCCACTAAGTAGGTTTTAGTGGGCTCAAGTGGGTCCAAGTGGGTTTGAGTAGATTGGACTAGGTGGGCTTGAGTGTCGAAAGAGTTAGACCAGGTGGGCTTTGTAGGTTTGAGTGGGTCCAAGTGGGTTGTACTAGGTGGGCTCAAGTGAGTTCACTAGGTGCGCTTGGTGCGTTCAGGTGGGTTGAGTTTGCTCAAGTCGAGTGGGGTTAGATAGGCTAGGTCAAGCGAGCTTGGATGGGCTAGGCTAAGTGAGTTTGAATGGGTCGAGGCAAGTAGGTTATGGTACGTTGAACTGGGTGAGTTTGGTTAAGGCTAGGGTTAAGAGAAGACTTGGGTTGGGTTAGGGCTTAGAGGTTGGATAGGTTAGGGTTAGGGTTTTGCAAACCTTGGTTTAGTGTAGAGACTTAACCAAGGTGTTTAGGCTTGGGTTAAGGCAACTAGGGCGTGGTCAAAGGGTGGTTAGGATTTGGGGAACAATAAGTCACTCTTTTGCCAAAGTTTTCTCTCTCCTCTCTCAAGGTAGTAGAGTTTCTCTAATCCAAGCATGCAAAAAGAATTTTTTCTAGTGGGTGATGGGGGTAGGTTTATATAGCTCACCCAAACCTGGGTAGATGCTCAAGGTTTGGGGGAATTGGGTGAAAAATAAAAAGGAGAAAATACAAAGAAATTCAGATAAAGGAAAAAAGACTGAGAAGGAGATCAACAACGTCCCAAATGATGACAACTAGGTCCCTCAAAGAGGGCCTCCTCCCAACCACATGGTTTGGGGCCTTGTTTTTGGACTTTTCGGTGCCAGAATGGAACTATCACCTAGAAAATGAAGATGACACCGCCACGAACATTTTGACATAAGTTTTGCACGAAATCCTGAAGATTCGACATAGTTGTGTCCGTTTTAAGTTTTTGGGGTTTTCATGCAACTCTCCGAGAACTTGCTCAATTGATTAGTGCAAAATGTCAGGTTTATTGGGCATTTGCTGACCGGAAAATCGAAGGGGATGCTGCCCCAATCGTATCGCACCAAAACACACGAAAAAATCCTTTCAATCGACCAAGATATGGGTCCAGCATGTTGCCAAAAACCCATAATTCTGCTACACAAAGTTTTGCCCCCTTGCGAACCTTGGATGACCATCGTTTCGGACCCTGATCGTGACTTTTCTTATGTCAACTCGAAGGTCTTCAAGTCATGATCAAAATGTGCCAATTTTGGGTCCGAGATGATGGTTGGATGTCGAGTTATGGCCGAAGAAGCAAGGAGATGTCGCAAAGACTGTGTTTTGCATGAGCATGGAAACTTGAAAACTTCTCTCTAAGATCTCTTGCGATCCGACTGTTCATCATGGGGGACTTATGCTAAATGGAAGTGCTCAGCGAGGGGTACAACATATCTAAATTTCATCCCAATCCACCTCATGGATCGGAAGTTACAACAACATCAACTTTGCGCGATTTTAGGGCATGGTTGCAGAAATTTGTCATTTTTGGCAGCGATCTTGGACTGCAATGTTGGTGTAGTATGCCATACACCCATTTTTATAGAGTTGGACGTACGGGTGTTCAATTGAGACAAACTTCAGGGGTTAGGGGTTTCAGGACCTCCTAAATCCATCTGTGACAGTCCCAAAGCCATTTGAGACCAAATTCCAGGGGTTCTTGACGATTTTACATGCTCCCCTCCCCTACCCTACCTGACCATTTGAGTCAGACCTACATGCGTCCCCAAAAAAAAAATTGTCCAAATGAAATTTTTGCCATGGAACATCTGGGAATTGGACCCCAGCTCACATTATCATTGAAACCAGAAGTGACTTGCATGACCTTCTGGACATCAGTTCGGTCTGCGGGAGAAAACATGTAGCTGTATCTAGGTCATATGGGATCCCACTATTCAACCAACTCAATTCTCGCATCAATAGCTTCTTTGTCATCATCTCATTATCTCACACTTCGGATGACCTCGAATGGCATCCTCGTGGCCAGCTATGGCCCCAACTGACCTCAAATCCGTGATCAATTATGAGCTCAACTCAATCATGTCCTTGCTATGTTCTCCCTGCCTTGGTTCATTAGGGATGATTTGAATTGCACACCGGTCTTTCGAGAAAAACTATAGAAGCAACATCACAGCCAGTCAGCATAGCATATTTCTCCAACTTTGCCTTCAGCCGTTGACTTACCACTCAATGTTGCCCCCTTTAATTGGTCCAACAACTCTACTTTCTGTATCCTAAATTCTCTGCTTTCAGTCAATGTTTTCCAGTTATTTAAATCAATTATCTTCTTAGATTTTGTTCATTTAAACAATGCACAAATTTCAGTTCCCCATCCCAGCGACATTTTACAAAAACATAAAAAAGTGAATGATACATAGAACTTCTACAAGCACTTGTATCAAGTTTTTGTTTCGTTTTCTTTTCTTTTCTTATTTTTGTGGTAGTTGGGGGGTAATTCAGCAGGGAAGGGGCCCCCTACCCTTGGTAGGAATGGAACAGACTACTAAGATAATGTTTATTTCACATCTTCATTTTAAATAGCCAGGAAGCTAATGATGTCAATGCTTGAATGCACACAAATAACACAAGCAATAAGTATTACTTTAACGGACTGAACAATTTTGTTGATAACTAAGACACACCTTGGCAACCACAAGTAGCCCACTCGTTCCTTTATCCAATCTGTGAACAATGCCTGGGCGAATAGAAGATCTACACTGAGTGGATATTGGGTCTGGATTAAACATGGTTAATCCATTGTCGCATTCATCATCTGATTCAGAAGTCAATTCGCCATCTGGGAGTCCAAAAGCAGGAAGTGTACAGTGATGAAGAATGCCATTTACAAGTGTACCATTAGCATTACCAGGGGCTGGATGAACAACCTATAAAACCACACATGGAGAATTGGTGAAGTGTAATAAAATTACGACAAGTAACGAATAAATCAATACCCACAATATGAATATAAGCCTAAATAAATACCTATAATATGAATGTGACTCTAATGTAGGTTATCAGAGTATCAAACACAAAAACGTGGGGACATGCATAATAGAGCAAACTTGCCATTGATAAATAACCATTCAACTAGCACAAGGTTGATACTGCACTTAGAGATGATGTGTTTCAAATAAGCGTTGGCATTGAACAAGGGCCTCCATCTTATGTTAGTCGACTTCTTATTTGAATAGGCCATTATTTTTTTAATAGGCCTCCTTAATTATGTGCTTCCACTATATGACTTTTTTTTCTTTTTTGCCATTCCGAAACTTTGATAGGAAAATATCTACAATACAAACATGAAAACAAGAAATTCCAACATAAAGCAATTTGTCAATTTTCAGCCACAAATAATAAAAATGATGCCTTGTTTAAATCAAGCATTAAATTAGTAATGCTAATATTAAATAATTTGCAGTTCTGGGACCTATAAATTGTCCCAAAAATCTTATTATAGATTAAAAACATAACCCGCCACATGATTCAATGGATGAACATAAGGGGTTTGGAGAGGACCCCTCTAAATCTTTCACAACATGTAAGGTGAGAACCAAATTATCACACAGTAATGTCAAAAGAACCATGATCCTTGGATGCTTTCCTATCAAAATGTAAGATATGTTGACTAGATGGCTCTAGCATGTGACCAGAAAAAAAGATGGCTCGAGGAAATAGACTATCAAGGGAAGTGTAACCCTTGATAGAAATAAGACTTGGCATGGTAAATGGAAAAGGTGCTGTCTCCCCTCAAGTGTTCGGTATTTGTTCATTCATAAATTAATTAGGAATATTAAACCTTCATATGGTCAATCTGGAATAGTAGATGAGTAGACATTGGAATATGCAAAGAGAATCATCTTTGGATGTTTATTATGCGAGGGAGTTATTGATGAAGCTGATTTTTCATTGAGATTGTTAGGACGATTTAGAGAACTAAGCAATTTGTAGGGATTGACAAAGACTTTTTTATAAAACATTTTTGGTTCTAGTTTATCACCATACAGAGGCGATCATTCTACTTTCACATTAAAACCTCCTAAAAGAACAATGCACCTTGCTTACTTCATTGACTACCTAACCCTACACGGCTACAGAATTGAGTCTTCAACCAGAATAAAATTTCCCATTCAACCATGCATTTTCATAACATGGCCCAATTTTCCCATAACTAAATCTCATGAAAGCAACAGAGAGTGGATGGCATACTTTCCAATTCTCCTATAACTAGGCAAAACAGAAAATACAAATTTTCAATACTAAAATAAAGAATGAATTTGTTAAACCAGATAATCACCATGTGTGCAGGTTTGTTCACAACAAGAACATGATCATCTTCATATATAATGTCCAAAGGCATATCCTCTGGCTCAGCCTTTAATGGTTGTAAGTGAGAAACTGTGCAATCAACCATGTCGCCTACTTTGACAATATGGGAAACCTGGGAAAAATGAAATCACGGCATAAACAAATGAAGCATGAAGGCGTTAAGAGTTCCACCGCCACAACAACAACAACAACAAAAAAAAAGAGGTATTATGGGTTCCACAATAGCTGAGGGAAATGACTAGATTAAGTAAAGAAGTAGAATTTAATCAACCGAAATAAAGATTGAGGAATATTGATATGATGGAAAAAAGGGAGATATCGATACATGATGTTAACACAATCGAACAGGAAAATGATTAAAGAATTTGAGTACAACATAAACCACGACAAGATACTTGCACAAAACCAAGTCGTAAAATAAATAACAAGTCTTAGTCCACACATTTCAGAAAGAAATTAGTATGTAGTCCATAGATCTAAACTTCAATCAACAAGACAGACTTAGTGTTGGATTTGGATGGGTGAAATAGGGGCCGTAAGTTAACAAAAAAATTTTGAAAAACTTCAAAGAAGTTTCTAGGCACGAGTATTTCCCAAGACCATAGTTGCTCCTTACTACTGAAAATCAATATGCATCTAAGTTCTTCAGGCAAATTTGTCCTCAGGATATATAGAAACAAAAGATCAAACATATCTTACCTATACAAATGCACAAATACAACAAGATCTAGAGTAACAAGGCAGTCTCTCTATCTAAGCAGTCCCTCATTTTAGATAGATAGAGGTACTTAGCTCGCTGAAAGTGAGAACCAAAAGTAATTTATAAAGTAAGAAGTGTGTTTTGTAACTGAAAACCACGTACTTATATCTTTCAACTGAACGTTGAGGAGTTGTGGCTCCTCATTTCTTGACCTATTATTAAATAGAGGTTCATTGGTTACACATTCAAATATAACTAACTAGATACGCATCACTCATCACTGTCCACACCAAAAGAATTGCATCTCATGTGACGTCACGGATGTGATATGCAACTCATGCACCGTCGCGACTCAGACTTGCCACATCGCTATGAACAATTACAACTAACAACAGCATTGTGGGGATTCTGATTTGCAACATTATCACACACGACACAACACTCTTACATCGATGTAGTGTGACTTGGTCGGCAACCGCTGACCGACCTCCGATCGCAAACCAAAACAAAACAATGCCAGCTGTGAGCCCGACCCACACCCGTGCATAGACTAAGGGACCTTTGCAAGCATGCACAGTGCAAAGTCTGCCTCGAGTATCCTCACGCTCTCACAGGCATTGTCCATAAACGTACACTTTGCGTGCTCCATGTAGGCCATTTTTCCCTTTTGTTCAATGAAAACAACAGAAGAGAGCATTCTCGTATGTAAACTTGAGTTCCACTCCTCCATTAAAGCCCTCTCTTTACAATAACACATATTTTTACTTTCCAAAGACTATGATTTGAATGGATATAATTTGAAATCTCCTAGTAGTTTTTCAATGCAAAAATACACCACCCATTGATAGAATTCATCTATTATATAAGTGCAAACTCATTTGTCCTCAGAGAAAGGCGAGAGGAAGCCAGTAATAGAGAAACAAGTAGACAAAGAAGTTCACTATGAATAGGCCCAAGTGTGCGTGTTTGTAAGAGAGAAAGAGCTCCTTCAAACCCTAAAAACCATGGAAGTAGTTAAAATTTAAGCTTGCCTTAGTTATAGGGAGTCCATTCACTTTGACGAACCCCTGGCGTATGCTCGACTGTATACGAGCCCTGCTAACATCGCCAATGCGAGCAGAGAGCCATGAATCGATCCGTTCCTTCTTTGATCCAACCGCCACGCTGCTTTCAAACTGAAGCCCTCCATAGCCTTCTGCCCGACCTCCATGGCCATGAACTTCTTCCTCTGGTTCAATTGCGCCATTGTTACCTACAGCAGAATGGTAAGAATTTGATCTAGGGTTGCGGAACAGAAGGAGAGAAGCGGGGTTTAGGGTTTTCGATGGAGTGGAGTGGAGAGGAACGAGAATCGAAGGAGGCTTTACAGAAAAGAGGACAATGGCCATGAGGCCCACGACTCGTAGCTCCAAAACTTCACAAATTCATTTTCCAAACCAGAACTTCCGTAAGGATGGGCATCTATGAGACAGCCGACGCATGCTGTATATATTCGGGCCCCACTTAAATTTATCTTAAAAAGGTATTTTTAATCCAAAATTTTAGAAAATCCTGATCTAGGTTAAGATAATCATGAATATGAACAAAAATAAAACTTTTCATATTATAAATATGACTCTTTTAAGGAAAATTTATACACCATCTAAATTCATTTTAGTCTCGTGGTTCCCGTATCCAAGATGGATGTTGGTGCAGGGAGCTCTTACACCCACATACTCACAAATAACTTTTCCTTTGTATAAATGCATTTTGTTTGAAAAAAGTAGACGAAGAATTTATTTAGGAATTGTATACAACAAGACCATTTATTTTTAAAACAAGAATGCCACAAGAAACCATAGCCTTTATAACTCAAATCAGACAGTTTTAAAGTATGTCACACATTTTGAAAAAAAAAATTGTTTCAACTTTGAACATGATCAATAACACATTTTCAACCTTCGGATTTCAAATTTAACAGCTAAAAATGAATGTGACCTCCTTATACATAAGATAAATGCTTACAACTAATTCGGTTTTAACTTTAAACGTCCTTGAGGAACTATGAATGGTTTATTTTTTTTTAATGTTAATTTCAGATGGTTTATTATAAGGTAAAACTTTATATGAGGTATCGATCTTATGTTATTAAAGTGAGGTGCACCTCAAAATCCTCTAGAAAATAGTATTCTTTAGATGGGAACGGGTTTGCACCCCTAAGAGTGAAGGTGGTTTGGGCATTCGCAAACTTAAATACATGAATGAGGTTTTGCTCTGTAAATGGTAGTGAAGGAGCTTCCAATGTCCTAATCAGCTTTGGGTTGAGGTTCTAACTTCAAAATACAGGATGGACATGTTTGGCATGTGGTTAGAAGGCAGCTGCCTATGTGAAGCTTCTTTTTTGTGGAAGCCCATTTGTAGGTGCAAATCGATGATTGCAAGCCATTTCCATTGGAATGTGGGGAATGGTGCTTTGATTTCATTTTGACACTATAAGTGGTTAGGTGACGTCCCACTGAAGCTGTGTTACCCTGTTCTCTTTGCTAAGGTTCTCCACCCGAATGCCTTGGTTGATGAGGTGTTTGACTGTACAGGCCCTAACGTTGTCCGGAATATTTCATTCCCGTACAATCGTCTTAGTCGTGAGGGTTACAATCAGTGGCTATATCTTTGGGCCTATTGGAGAAGGTTTACATCTTCCCTGGCCCCCTGGACGATCTCATCTGGGAACTTGAATGTGATGATCTTTTTTTGGTTTAAGTCTTGCTATAGACTCTTGTTCCATGACAGATGGTCGTGGTTTTTACCCCTCACAGCTACAATTTGGAAATGGCAGATCCCCCATAAGGTGCAGGTTTTTCTTTGGCTCGCCATCCAAAATAAAACATTAACTGTTGACAACTTGATAAAGAGAGATAAAGTATTACCTAACATTTGTTTGATGTGCAAAATGGATGAGGAAACGGGGAATCACCTTTTCATTCACTGTAAGGTTGCCTCCAAAATTTGGTACTGGTTTTTCGGATTACTTGGGATCCATGCCACCATTCCCATATCAGTCGTGGATACTGTGTGTCAACTAGCGTTTCCCCATTTACCAGCCAGTGGTTGTACGGTTTGGCAAATTGTTTGAGGGGCGGTGCTATGGGAAAATTGGAAAGAGAGGAATAGGCGTACTTTTGAAGGGGTGAACCCTCTCGGATGCTTGGTTGATTGATAACGTCGAGCTCTCTTTATGGCATTGGCTTTCGGCCACTAAGGAGGGATGGGGTATTTTTCTCTCAGATGTAATGCTTAATTTACCTAATCGCTTCTTCATGGGTAAAGTCAAGATGAAACCTCAGAGCTTTTGGACACCACCGGAGGAGGGGCATTTCAAAATGAACTTTGACGATATTTCGCTAGGCAATCCTGGTTTGGCAAGTATTGGGGGGGGGTCTTGCGCAATAGTTTGGGAGAGATCATGTTTTCCTATGCTGGTCCCTTAGGCCATGCCATTGCTAATCGTGAGAAGCTTGCTTCGTTATTGCAAGGTTTAAAATTTTTTATCTTTTAAAACCTTGGTCAGAGCTGTATTCTTTAAGGTGACTCCTTAAATGTCATTAGTTGGTGCAAGAAGGAACGATGTATCTCTTGGAAGCTTCAGTCTACTTGGCTGGAAATCATGGACCTTTCTGCCGCCCTATCGGTTTCCTTTTCTCATGTGTACCACGAGGCAAATGCTTTAGCTGATTCCCTGGCTAAAGGCGGGGCTTCTCTGCCCTCTCTTTTGTTATCTTTTGCCTAATCTCATTTGATTAACTGCTTTAATAAAAATTTGGAGCCTTTGTCAAAAAAATAATAATGCATCTTGTTACAAGTTTTCTAGACCATTATTTTCAATATTTTTTAATGTTTATAGATCTACTAGATCTGTACCAATTTTGAAATTTTAAATATCACAAATATAGGTGAAAATATATTTTAAAGTCCTCAAAAGGTATATGTCACCGGAACTATATCTTTAGACAAAATTTAGAGGTGCCCCTCACTTCTATAGTATAAGGAGGGCCCCTTATGTAAACTTCACCTAATCCATAAACTATTTAATAGGTGAGGTTTGTATAAGATGCACACCTTATGCATAAACCTTGCGATTACTTGAAAATCCATGTTTAATCTTAACTATGAAATTTAAAATTTCATACTTCATGCAAAAACAAGCACATCTATAGATACTTGAGAATCTTGAAAATAGAATGTCTACTTTACTTGCTATAAGATGCATTATTTTAGGACTTGGAACTATTATTTTTCTTTATATTCATATATCTCAAGGTCGAGATAATTAATTGAAAGTTTTTCTAAATTCTCAACACGGATTTTTGAGGTACACCTTACTTCTATAGTATAAGATTGCAACCTTACATAAATGTTTTTCCTTTAAGAACTTACGGAACATTTCAACTCAAGGTCACATGTTATTTTATGGTTATTTTGAATTTGAATAAAAAAACATTGGTTAAATGTTAAACTATTAATCTTTCATGGATAATTTAATAATTTTACAAATTTATAAAATCCGCAAGGTGGTTAAAGCATCCTAATAGAAAATAGTGGGTTTATCTTTAACTTGTATTTCACTCAAGTACCTATTCGAAATCCCCCTTGAGGGTTGGGAGCATGAACAAGCAGAAGAATTTTAGTAATTTGACTCACATGCCCCAACCAAATGTTGAGTACCCTTGCTTGTTCAGGGTGGATCAAATTACAAAATACTCCTGCTTATTTGGAATTTTTGGATTCTCATCTTGAACATTTGAGAAGGAATTTTTGAGTATCAGAATGAATAACCAAAGCAATTTGAGTATTTTTTAAAATAATTTTGAAAAGGTATCAAAGTGAAATTAAAATTGGAAAGTGATCCATACCATATTTATTAAAATATTTTCACCCCAATGATGTTATTATTATTATTATTATTATTATTATACATTAAACTTGTCCATGTTTCTGTTAACTTTTTGATAACTTCCTCGATAACTTTTTTGTATTTATGTTGACCCTTGGATTGAAAATTAGCCAATTTCAACCATCTTGACATATAATGATTGGTTGACATAGTACTAGGAACAAAATGGATAGATTAACCGTGGATGAAATTTTGCTTATATTGCATCCATATTAGATGTTTACTATAATAGTACGCTAATTTTTTGGAGAAAATGTCAGTAATTTGGTCAAGTAATCCTAAAAAACTTATTGAGGTGGTTAAATGAACGGTTTCTACCGATAAACTCGTTACTTTCGAAAGTCCTTTAATTTAGGTACATCCTCGAGAATTTTGTTAACATTCAATTTGACATTGATATGGTTTGTAATACTAAAAAAGAGAAACACTTTGGTAATTTGATGCTCATAAGTCGCTTGAGCAAAGTAACTTGAATATATTTACTTGTTCTTGCTTCTCAACCTGAGAGATGTTTTATTAAAAAATCCTATTCGAAGTTTCAATCCTTGAAGAAGTGACAATTTTGCCTTGAGTCTTCTTACTCAAAAGATGCAAGTGCCCGTACTTATTTTTCGTGTTCTAATCTAAAATTAGATTTTTAATAAAAATATGTAATGAATTTGGAATCCAGAACAAGCGGAAAGTCCCTAAATCATTTAACTCTGGAATCCAGAACAAGCGGAAAGTCCCTAAATCATTTAACTCAAATAACTTATGGATAACAAAACTATTAACTAGAAGCAACCAATTAGTCGGTGAGTCAGTTGAACATAGCTCTTCCACATTCAAGTACTTGATAGCCCGAGTTACAAATCTAGTCAGGCTTTCAAGGAGGTTGGACCCCCTGCAAGATTTTGCTGGTGAGCACATAGGGACCCTGGCCACAAGTTATTTGCAGCTCTACTGCATTCAAGCCCTGTATATATTGAGTTTGGACTTGGTGTGCTCATCCTTCTATTGAGATTTTTGGTACTCTAATCTTTCGATGATCGGTCAATCACCTTATCATTTACGTCGGGCCAACACATAATCACTTGTTTCGACTCGAGAATCAGTCATTCCGTACCTATTCAGTAAAAAAAAAAAAAAAAAATTGGTCTATAAAAGAACCAACGATTTGCTACAGTAAAAATCGATTTGTTACATTAAAAAATCGCATTTTTGTTATAGTAAAAATGTTGATTCACTTATCCAAACCGATTTTCGTTCGGTTCATTGTTTTTGTATGTTTTTTTACCGATTTACTATTTTTTCCACACAATAAACCAACGATATGGACCGCCAACTTACCGATTTTAACCAACTTTTCTATTGTCCGAGCCATATCACTGATCCATTTTCAAAATCATTGCTTTCGAGCATTATAGAGCCCGGTCATCGCGTCGGACTCATATACACGATAGTTGGTTGCTTTCCGGACGCAAGTATAATAATAATGTTCGTGAATCCTCACTGAAAAACACCACGACGATCAGGATGTCGGCTTATTTATTAATCAGCACATTGATCTCTCCTTTTTTCCCAATCATTGCACACCAAAGAACATATAAGAAAAAGTTTATTTATACGAATGTGCTCCCGCATGAATATATTATATGCCCTTAAAAGTTTAAACTTTAAAGGCCAAAATAGCCTCATTGGTTGTGCTTTTACCACAAGGAGTTCCACTTCCGTGTCAACCTCAAACAATCCAAGTAGGGCACACTTCCAAAGCTCATGGAAAGATGTAATTTTTCGTATGAGAAATTTCAATTATGACCTAAAAGACTAATTCATATCAAATTATGAAATTTAAATTTAAAAGGTATTATAGATTGAGTAAATCTACAATCACATGAAAATCTCGAGAGTAGATGGTTAAGATAATGTATTACAAGATGTAGCATTTTTAGACTTTTTTTTTTTAGTACATCACGATACCTCAAGGTCGAGATCGAGATGATCTATTATAAAAGTTTTCAGCATTGAAACAACCTTCTTTGATGGATTTTTAAAACATGCTTTTTTTTGTTCTATAATATACAAAGCAACCTTATTTTAAAAAAAATTATTCCTTAATTGAGAAGTAAAATTAGTGGTGGACCGTGCTAAGGGTGCATGCTTAAGGTAATTGCATTGATACAACTAAAATGGGGCATATAATACAAGAACATTAAGGGCGTGTTTGATAACGTGGAGATGTTGGAAGGAGGAGTGGAACATCCCACTTCCACATTTGATCGCACGGAGATTTTGGAAGGGCCGCATTCTGCATACCTCATTTTTAAGGTTAAAACAAGCCTATTTTTGTAAAAAATGATGGAAAGACGTTCTGCCATAGTAAATGGGAGGCTCCCTTCCTCTCCCATAAATTGCGCTTGTCAAATGCGCCATAACATTTTAATTGAAATGGAATAAATACTATCCTATTTCGTTGTCTATTCTCCCGTTAAGCAACTAGTTGTCGCATATAAGATTGAATATTAATAGGGAAAAAACACAGAATGGCACCCTTTGGTATGAAGTGTAAACAATGTTTAAGAAAATGACGATTTGGATCGGAAATCTCTGGTTCAAATTGTGCATCGTCTTTACGGACCTAATTCTTTATCAAAATTAAGAGTAGGTCGGACGGAAAGAAAGACTAAATTCAAAACGGAATTAGATGGACTTGCCCGGTCTTATTAGGGAGCTGAGTAATTCAAACTAACCAAATCACCCAATTTCCATCCATGATTATTTTCATTATTTTTTAATTTTTTTAATATGTTTTATTATTTTTGGAATGATTACCTCATTATGAGAATCATTCACTGATCTAGATCGATGATCTGTTAATTCAAACCAAATGTCTAGAAGGACCGGCCGGCCTACTTTTCAAATAAACTGGTGTAAACAAAATGGGTGGGCCATCGTCCAGCTGTTTCTTTCTATAATCAAATTCCGAAAAGCGAAACTTTGTGGCTTCTTTCCTGGTTCACAAATTCGGTTCAAAGTTCAAACCCAACCAAGCCGAAATGGCAGCCTTTCGAGACCAAGCGTTGCGTACAATGACTGCTATGCACAACACTCGAAAAAGCCAAAAGATATTCCATGTATGTGGGAGTAGAATGTTCATATGTTCCCTTGGATAAAATCCATCTAGAATTGATTTTAGAACCTTGAATTTGGGAATGTAACTTTTTCAACTTAATATTAATATTAGAAGAAAAAAAAAAAAAAAAATCTAATTGTGACCACTATGCACTTTAAAAAATAATATCAGCAAGACTAAATATAGGGTATGGTTTGTATAAGGCAGAGGCATAAACAACCAAAATAAGGTGCACTTTCAAATAATATCGAAATATGTTGTTTTAGTATAAAAATCTTTATGATGGCAAGTGGAATTTATTTTCATTTTGAATTGTAAAATTTAAATATTAAAAAATAGTGTAGATCGAGTGTGAACATTCTTGAAAATTGATAGTCTAAATAATATATTACAAGATACATTATTTTTTAAATTTAAAATTTTTTTTTTTCTCATGCCCATACATTTAGAGGTCAAGATGATGGGTTTTTAGTATCAAAATAACCTCTTTTAATGAATTTTTGATATGTGTCTTAATTTAACCATTTAACGCTTCGTTATTATATAATTTTTTAATATAATATTATTCAATTATTAGATGGTGAGATCGAAATGTTAAAAAACTTAATTTTTTTTTTTTAAAATAACCATATTATATTTCTTAAGTGGTTTCTAAAATTTTAGATTAAAATATTCGTCTCAAATAAATCATCTGTGATTGAGGGAGCAGAAAAATATAAACTACGCTCCATCCATAAGCAAAATAATGTCCATTAGTACTGAAACGTGGCTCCAATTTGTGGAGCGAAGTAGGCGAAGATGAGAGAGAAAAACAAATCATAAACACGTGGCAAACGCATGTTCCGACCACGCAGATTTCTTTCTCTCTCTAGACAGGTCGAAGAGAGAGATTAGGCCACGCCAACACGCCTAGCTTTCTCTCTCTTCCCACTTCTTAACAGCGGGCCCACGCCATCGCCCATCTCTCCATGATTGAACTCGTTCGAGATAGAGATAGGAAGAAACAGTCACTTATATCAGCAGACCAACCCTTTCTCTCTCTGTATCTCTCCTCTTTGCTTTCTATCTCAGTCCTCTTTCTATCTCATCGTCAGCCCATGCGTATCTGTTTTTAATTCATTTACTATTTTACGTTGTATTTTTGTTGTTTATGGGTTCTGTCCTCGTTTTAAGATGACTTTGGCATTTGTGAACAGAGCTTCTCGTCTCTTTTACCCATTTCGCACCTTCTCACCACTCTCAGCTGCCCCTGCTCTCAACCACCCTTCTTCTCCTTCTCTCTCTAACCCTAATAATACTTCTTATCACTCCAACCAGTCCCATTGGAGATCGCCTCTCAGCCATCGCGCCTTTATCAGGAGCTCCACCATTAATCTCGATCGTTTTGAGCGGAGGCTTGCAACCATGGGTTCTCTCTCTCTCTCTCTCTCTGGCATCATCAAATCCAAACTGTAGTGAATAGCATTTCGGATCAAAATTGAGCTGTCACTATTTTTATTCCTCTTTTCTCTTGTTTTCTTTTTGTGATCTCACCTGTTACAATTGTATTCTGAATCTGCTTTCGATGGATCAATTCATTTGCTTTGCTGTAAAGGGCTTCCTTAATGCTTTATTTTGTGGTTTCAGCGACTCAAAATGTGTATGAGAGCATCTTGACCTCACTTCCCAAACCAAGTGGAGGTGAATTTGGGAAATATTACAGTCTACCTTCGCTCAATGATCCTAGAATTGGTCAGTTTAATTTCTCTATTTATTTACATTAGGTTCATTAGAAATTTCTTGTTATTACTCATATGTGATGTGCATTTCTCTGCTAATTTACAATTTTAGTTGTCATCATTTTGAAATTTTTGTTATGTTTCGTATTTGATAGTTACCTGATGGGTTGTGTATTTGCAGACAAGCTGCCTTATTCTATCAGGATCCTCCTGGAATCTGCGATCAGAAACTGTGATGATTTTGAGGTTAAGAAGAATGATGTGGAGAAGATCATTGATTGGGAAAATACATCTCCAAAACAAGTGGAGATCCCCTTTAAACCGGCTCGTGTACTTCTTCAAGTAAATTTGAATACCTCTCTCAAAGATTCTAAGCGCTTTTCATTGAATAGATGATAGATTGGAAAGTTTCGTATGAACATACTGTGTTTCTGTTTTGTTTTTATTTTTTGTTTAGGATTTTACTGGCGTTCCTGCAGTGGTAGATCTTGCTTGCATGAGGGATGCTATGAACAAACTTGGAAGTGACTCAAATAAGATTAATCCTTTGGTGAGAAGCCTTCCTACATTGTCTTAAATTGATGACCACTTTCTAACTTTCTCCGCTCACTCTCGTTCTTAACTGTTCTGAAAGTCCATGAAGTTTAGCTTGTGAACTATTATTTTCTACGGCTATGTTTGAGGTATTTTTTTGAGACGCAAATAAATACAATTCAATTAAATATGTCAACTTGAGATTCTTTTCCCCTCTGATTTATGTAAAATTTTGAACCCATATGAATGTAAAAAGTTTAGCTGACGCTCAAAATATTATCTCATTATGCTAGGAATTTAATTTTCCACACACACTCCACCTTGGAACCTGGCCAAAATTAAAGAAAAAATATCCATTTTTATGATACAAGCAATAATTTAGTTCTCAACTTGGGTAGCTCTCCATGGTTTCATCATCATTTTATGAAACTTCAATCTGGCTACTACAGTAATTCTTTTTTAAATATCGTAATTTGTCACTGAAAATGTCGATCAAGAAAGGTAGCTGTAGATCAGTGAGGTCATCTATTTTGCCTTTTTACATTGTTATCTACATTTGTTTTCAAATCGTATTGCATTTCAATGTGCAGGAGATGGTAGTAGTCTGAGAATTAGATATAGTTGTATTTTTAGGCATGAAATAATAAATTAGATTAGAGTTAGGTTAGATTCTGGCATCTCAATTGATAGGCAAGCTCCAGCTACCAGAGTTTGAAGGTATGATTTTCTAGAGCTATTGAAGATAGTTACCTACATTAATTACTGAAAAGGAAAAAGCCTATGTCCATTTTTCTGACTAGATTATTATGTCAACAGGTACCTGTGGATCTTGTCATTGATCACTCAGTCCAGGTCGATGTGGCACGATCAGAAAATGCGGTGCAGGCCAATATGGAACTTGAGTTCCAACGAAACAAAGAGAGATTTAGTTTCCTTAAATGGGGTTCTAGTGCTTTCCATAACATGCTTGTTGTCCCTCCCGGGTCTGGAATTGTCCATCAGGTATGTGCTATAAGTTTTCTTTATTATTCTGATTGATGCCTTGCTAGAATGATTCCTTTCGTGCTGGATCATGGAATTCTGGACTCAGATTATGGCAGCCAAGTATTCTGAGTCACAATTTGCTCTTCCTCATATAACTTGTGAAATCGTGATGTGCACGACAGGTGAACCTCGAATACCTGGGACGCGTAGTGTTTAACAATGATGGCATACTTTATCCAGACAGTGTGGTTGGGACCGATTCTCATACCACTATGATAGATGGGCTAGGTGTTGCTGGCTGGGGTGTTGGAGGAATAGAAGCTGAAGCTGCAATGCTTGGGCAGGTTAGTTCAATACACCTGAAGAGCTCCATAATTACATATATGAAAATTCAAAGTTGATTTCTTTAGGGCGATTGTTGTAAACTGATATTTTTCTATTCTCTAAGGCTAAGGCCTCTTATAGACATTTTGTTTTGGCTATGAAGCCTCTTAAGACATTGTTTTCTTGTATTCTATGCTTGAAGTCCTTTTCCAGCTTATCTCCTTTCATTAACTCTTGATTTTGCTCATGCAGCCGATGAGTATGGTTTTGCCGGGTGTCGTTGGATTCAGGTTATCTGGAAAACTGAAGAATGGCGTGACAGCTACTGATTTGGTTTTGACGGTGACCCAAATACTACGGAAGCATGGTGTTGTTGGCAAGTTTGTGGAGTTCTATGGTAAGCATGATTGCAGTATTATTCCCTTGTTATATATCAAAACTGTCTTCATGAAAATGGAAGCATCATATTTTGTTATTCCACTCTTTATTTTGGTATTCTCTTTGTTGTTGATGATTTGGAATTTGCTTTCCCTGTAAACAGGAGAGGGAATGAGTGAGCTATCCCTGGCGGATAGGGCCACAATTGCCAACATGTCCCCTGAATATGGTGCAACCATGGGTTTCTTTCCTGTGGATCATGTCACTCTACAATACTTGAAACTGACTGGCAGAAGTGATGAGACAGTAAGTTTTTTATTACTATCAGCTTAGAAAGTTTTTATAGCAATCTATCTCATTTTCTGCTTTCATTTCCTAGGTGGCCATGATAGAGTCCTACCTACGAGCTAACAGAATGTTTGTGGACTACAATGAGGTAAGTATTTTAGTTGTGGGTTTCCGCTTTACTTTTGTTTAACAAGTTTACATGCCAGAGAAACTGAAATAGCATTGTTTGGGTTCAGCCTCAGACGGAGAGAATATACTCATCATATCTCCAGCTGAATCTTGAGGATGTTGAGCCTTGTATTTCAGGCCCCAAGAGGTAAAAGAGACACCCTTCCACTAGCCCTAGTTGCAACCCTCTCTCTCTCTCTCTCC